GCGCGATCCACCTTCTCTTTGGTTTTGGGGTTCTTTAGAGGAATCAACTGCTTCCTTATTCCACGCACCAGCACGTTATTTTTGTACTTCCCTTCTTCTTTGGTGCCATCTGGGAAAACTGTGCACCCGTAACCATGGCGCTTGTTGTTAAGCCATTCTCCCTCGTACTTCATCCCATTGGATCTCTCTGAAACACCAAATCCATTGCGTTTGTCATTCTTCCATTCACCCATGTAGGTCTCGGTCGTGGTGGCATCCACATGGTCCTCCAGAAGTAGGTCCTCATCTGGCAGCTCGCCGTCACCGATGGATATAGTAGAGTTGGCATCACTGGAGCTGATGCGGCTCATGGTGGCATCACTTCTTGCAGAGCTGCGTTTGCTGGAGATTGAGGTCCGAGAGTCAGACTTGCGCAGCTGCCTGAGGCTGCCGAAGAGTGAGCCCCGGCGGAATAGGCCCTTCTTCTTGCCAGTGACAACCTCGCTGTCTGAGTGGAAGTTAAGGACGAAGCCCCCGCGGCTGCCTGTCGGCGTGTCTGCGGGGGAGGAGAGGTCCTGGAGCACGGTGCCGTTGCTCTGCTCGGAGCGCAGCGAGGCCAGAGATGTACGGAGAGGAGAGCGGATAACAGTGGCCATGCCATAGGGAACACTCTGACGCACGCCATAGCCATGCCGCATCCCGCCCATCCACTGGCCTTGATAGGTACCTGAGGAAACATGTGACAAGGGTCAATGAGTCATAGTAGTCAGAACTGTATACTTCCTATCCTTTAAGGCCTATCCTTTAAGGCAGTGGCTACCAACACCTCTACCACATGGCCCCTTTGAACCAAATTAAAAGTTACAATATTTTCTATTCAATGATTTTAAGAAGGAAAGGTGTTTCCAAAGTCTTGCTTGTGTGTGTGTTTGCTTGTGTGTACAGTCTGTTTGTTTCAACTGGGCTCCATTCCAAAAAAGTAGTTTTTTATCTTTAGCAAATGAAACAGACTTTAAACCTAGAAAATGTCTCCTGTCTGGGATTTCTACAAACTATTTGAGAAAGACAAAAAATCAAAATTAAAACACAAATTAAAATGGTCCTTTACATGATTGAGTCCTTAAGGGGAGTGTGATTATCTGAAGATAAGCATGTCTGAAAAGCTTAACCTGTTTTACAAAGCTTGCCAGGGTAACATTTTCCTTCTTAGTTACAGTGAGTTTGTACTTATTTTGGTACTTTTGGTCACAAGAGGGTTCCTCTGTTTCCTGTTGTGCATGTTTGCAGCTAGATATTCTCTGTATCAGCGATTACATATGGGAACACAGAGGAGCCTTGCTGTAGGGGCAGAGAGAATGTCAACTAATGAAATGTTTTCCCTCCCTCCCCTCAGATCAGGGACCGTGAGCATAACTAACTCAATCACAGAGATTTGATTAAGGTGCTGGTACTGAGGATCACTTGGGATGAATGTGAATCACTCAGCTAGGAGCCTATTTTCAGGCGGCCACTAACTCCCCCACTGACAGTAGGCGCATTCACCACCATCCGTTTGTCTCTGACGACAGGGAATTGCTATGAGTCACATAATGAGAGAAATACTTCATTAATCCCATTTGGTGCTGCTGAGCCCAATGAGCATGTGCTGGCCTACTGTAGCTTCTTCAGAGCATCATATTACAATACTGTTCCTGATAAGGAGAAAAGCTTGTTAATCAAACAATCATACTTCATTGACCAATACAATGAAATATGCCATAATGGTCAGATTCTAACAAAAAACGATATACTAGCCTGGGCAGGAATTTAGATGGATAAACAGTGTGAGATTAACAGGCTGGCTCCGGCTGGAGTTCAATTCGGTCACCCTGCAGATCAAGTTATCAGGATGTTGCGGGGTCAGACAGCCAGATGTTCTGTAGATCCTCTAGGATCAGCTGATTTCCAAAGCCCAGCCCTCTGAAACCATCATATGTGAGACATTTATTCTGCACCATAAGGCCTCCGTGAGTGGAGATGATGTTCACAGATAGCCCAATGATGGCCTGCAATACACAACAGGCCTACGGAATCACATGCAAGCTCTTGTGCTTGTAGGCCGCTTGGGATCTTGTCTCGTTGATCATACACAGGTCTCTAGACAAAATATGACCTATGAACATACCTAAGATTAGTGAGATCAAAGCTCTGAGAGGGGCTTTTTATTGACCTCTCACTTTCAACTAGTTCAAGAATGTGTCTTGTGCGTGACTTAACATGGCTGTGTGTGATGATGTGGAGCCCAAATTGTGATTATGTTCACCACTAAAAATATGTCTAAAAATTAAAGAATGAGTTAAATAGACATTGAAAATTGCATCAAATGGTCATCAAATTAGTGGTTTGACACTTGCAGAATGGCTGAATTGCTACCAAAAGTAACACTCCCGGAAAAAAGTATGAAACAAGTTACTTGCAATTGGAAACATTTGCATTACCCACAAAGCTACAATGACTCTGTGTGAGAGGTGTTTCTGCAGTGCAGGTTCAAATGTGAAAATGACAGAGAAGTAGGTGATAGTCTGGCTATAATTGGCTCCAAACAGACTGATTTGCTGTGATTTCCAAACTCCTTCTAGACGGGGCATGGTGCCACTGAGCTGGCAACAGGAGTCACTTTCCTCCCACTGTCATATGAGTAGTTGCCAAATGAGATGTGCCTTGGAATAAGAGAAGACGCATTATCTTAAACGGTATCCAACATGTTAACATTAACAGGGGTAAGTAATAATTTTTGAGGGGTGTTCATGACCACGTTTTGCAGTGCGCAATCTCAGCTCCAACTCAGATCATATCAGATGGAAATTCATGCACTGATGTACTTCCATCAACCTCCCTCAGTAAGAGTCTGAGCATCCTCACTCACAGCTACATAACACATCATCAGTCACAGCCGTTAAAGCGACACACATTAAACAAACACTGGGCCACATTTCGAAGAGTTCCTTACCGCCATCACCGTAAGTTTCTATTCCATATCCATCTTGCAGCCCGTTGCTCCAGGTACCGTCATATCTAGCAGGTGTGTTGTGGCTTTGCCGGACGCCGTACCGACCCTTAAAACCGTGACTCCACTCTCCGCGGTAGATCCATTTTCCTTTATTCTCCACGCCGAGCCCATGCCGCTTCCCCTGGGACCAGTAGCCCTGGTAGGTATTCCCACTGGGCCAGGTGTACACCCCCACTATCTCAAAGCCATGCGACCAGGACCCGGCGTACTCGCCCTGGCCCTTGGGTCCGGTGCAGATGCCGTGTCCGTGGGCTTTGCCATCCTCCCACCCCCCGCAGTAAGTGCCACCGTCGTCGAAGTCAAACCTTCCGCCCGTCATTCAGATATAGGCTGGAAATAAAGCAGATCGTGCGCTGCTGCAGACTCAGGCGTCTCCAGGACCGAGGTTAGAGGATCCAGGACCGGCGGTGTGATGATAGGATGAGCCAACAAGATGATGACTGTAGGAATAAAAAATAGGAGGGTGAGGAAATTGGACTGGTACTTCTAGACACTGACATGTAATACAAAAGGCATGCGCTGTGTAAAGGTATGAATGGTGGGCGTCATTTACCGGAGGCGCACGCCGGTTTCTCCGCTGTGTGTTGCTCGTCTCCCCCCTCTCACCCACTGATCACAGAGGGAGAGAGAGAGGCGTCGAGTCAGTGCTGAAGAAAGACACTGGGCCAATCGCAACGTCACGCCACAGGGACCTCCCACTCTCCTCGCGCCCTCTCTCTCCCGCCTCAGTGAAGAGCCTGGACGCCCCCGCCCTCCACCACCCCCCCAAAGTAAGGCACCTATAGCTATGTCCGACTATACATTTAAAAGAGGCGCCTCATTTACTGAAACCCCACATTGGAATTTCCCATAATAGCCACAGAGTAAGTGTTTGTCTGTGATGGGTTTATAATGATTTGTTATATTATTTTATTGCCCATATGTTCCTATTTACTCTTAACTGTGTTGTGACATGTATACTAAGCGATAGTGTATACCGTATATAGCAGATTTCTACACATCTGTACAACATACAACATACACTGATGAGATACCTATGACGTGTTTGTTGTATTCAACAGTGACTGTATACTATAGGCCTAATCTTCCTGATATGACTTTTTTAATTGTATCTTCTTGTTACAACTATTTATGAAAGTTAAAACAGTTTGTTCACAGTGAATATGTGCAAAAAGTATTAATGATTTTTAGTCAACACTTTAGTCAGTAACATAATTTAGTCAGTGCATCATTTAGGTCATTCCCTCTCCTCCCTAAAGTCTACAAAAGAAAAATAAGGGACGAAGAGGATGAAGGACAAAAGTTTCTTCGATTCAATTGGTTTCTATTAGTTAGTATGAGCCTTAAATGACAGTCAAGTCTGTACACTCACAATAGGCACTTTAAACAAAATTATTATAGCGACCTCTGCTGTACAAATGCATTTACTGCGTAGCTAAGGAATGGTATTCCTTCAGGATCAAAGTGTTGTCATTGTAGTCAATGTAGACAACCATTTGTTGTCTTTATTTCTTACACTAGTCATTATATGGTAATTTTACATTATAAAACATGTTCTTGGCAATAATTTACATACTCTATGTAATAATGGTTAGTTGGTGAAGCTTATTTGAATTTGGACTATGGATAAAATATTGGCTTACTGTACTACTGCTAGATCAGTGCTACCGTAGGTATCCACGACGACGACGAAGTAAATGAAAAAAGAGCAAAAGAGGGAAATTAAGAAAAACAGCTAGAGAAGTGTTAGGTTTAAGCTAAATGTATAATTAACCCAAAATACAAATTAAAACTTTTGACCGTTTCAATATACTGCGAAATAAATGTGTTTTTTTCTAAATAGTTAGTTTGGAATACTATTAAAAATTGAAAAAGGAGATTTACGTTACACTCCGAACCTGCAGGGGGTGTAACTTGTCGACTGTGACGTGCTTCCTGCCCTCACTTGTCCCCTAAAATACTAACAGATAAAATGGCGTCCGAAAACAGCTCTGAATCACAAGATGAGAAAGCTGCTCTTTTAGAAACGGACTCGGCTCAAGATGCACAAGAAGAAAGTGGTCCAGTTGCGAAACAAAGCGAATCAAAATTAACGCTTTATCACTGGACGCAGTCTTTCAATTCTCAGAAGGTGAGTGTCATTACGATTCAGCACCACAGTCCAGCGGACAGCTCCTCACCAGAGGTCCAATTAGAAATCTATTAAAATGGGTGTGTTACAGTGCATAGTTTCATCTTTATGTGACACACACATCCTCTGTTTTAATGAATAACACTGACTTATAACGCGTTATTACAATAGAAAGCTCTTCAGTGCTATTGCAGTTTGTTTGCCTTTCAGCCCGAACAATTTTAATGAGAAGGGTATCCTAAATCATAATTAAGTGATATCTAGTAAAATCTTTTAGACGTTGTAATCCTTATTAGGACTACAATAGATATTTTGACATCATAGTTACACTGGTTTTACTTCTGCTGGTCAAATTTTTGTCTTCACAAAAAAGCCCACCAAGCATACAATTTGTTGCATATTTAATTGCCAAAACACCCTCAATTCCCTTTTGTAATTGGAATAATCTTGGACGTGGTCTCAACTGGATGAAAAACTGGAAATTTTCCTTTAAATATTTGATTTCTAACAAGATAAAACACGTGTCTCTAAGGATCATTCATCAGTATTATACTAATATACTTATGTAATTTATTTTGGACCCCACAAGTTTAGGTAAGGTGTCAATATATCTATATCTTAACACAGTGACTCAGAATTTCCCCTTTTTTATGGGCATGTACTGTTTGATTTTATTAATAATTATCATGACTCTAAGTACTCCAGTCACCACCATTCTTAGTTGTTGAAACTGATTACAAGCAGTAGATGAAAACCATCTTTAAGCGTAGAGCATGAAAAGTTAAAAAACACAGTATTTGTGTAAAATTTTATATTTTTACATATTTTAATATATTTGTCGTTGTGATGGTTGTGTTTGTTGTGTTTGTTGTTATTATTTTCACAATAGACCTCAGGACTTTTACCTTACACAGCTCTGATCTTTGTTATACAATATGTAATTAACACAAATAAGAAATATATGATATGGTGGGATTCTGTGAGCCAAAATCTTGTGGTTTGTGAGTCGTTGACATAAAAAATGTTTTTCTTGTCTTAAGCTTATTGAAGTGGCAGTGTGTTGTAAAATGCTGGATGTGATCTTTAATTAACAAGAGCAGGACTAAGCCTCTCACAATCATTCACATTTGATAACAGAGAAGCTTACAGCATTGTTTGGATTGTTTTTTGATGCTTCCAAATGATTTACTTGAACACACTGCTTGTTTCAAGGGAACAAAAACTGCATTAATGACACACAAAGATTGTAGCTCAGTCATGTGTAGGTTAATAACTATAATACCTGATTGTTTTGATCAAGAGATGAAAAGAGATTAGATTAGTGTAGTTCCAGCATATAAACTTACATCACAATCACATCAGAGTTGTGGTTTTGCAGGTGCGTCTGGCCATAGCAGAGAAAGGTTTGCACTGTGAGGAGTATGATGTGAGCCTACCACTCAGTGAACACAACGAGCCCTGGTTCATGCGTCTGAATCCTACTGGTGAAGTGCCGGTCTTAGTCCATAATGACAACGTCATCTGTGACCCAACACAGATAATGGACTACCTGGAGCACAACTTCAATGATGGTGAGACTAAATAAAGACTGTTTGGCAGCCCCAAACTCTCTCACTGTAATACACCCCCGCAGGGCTGCATACAAGGTGGTTTCCATACATTGTTTTCCTCTTTCTCTTTGCTTGTTGAATTTTTGGTTTTAAAATAAATGTACATTTTTTGTTTTCATTTGTTTAAAAAAAATTTTAATTTGCATTTGTTGATTTTTCAGTTATTCATTCATTTTCTCTTGGTTTGCACTGATCCATAGTAGCTTTATTCTAAGGGTCTCATCCAGTCACCAGAAAGCAGAGAAAATCTGGTAAGCATGGACCTATTTAAGCCAATGAAAAATGATACATTCAAATGCCCACTAACATTAAACATTACAAAACACAGATTTTCCTTTTCCTAGCTCTGAACCTTGTGTATTCTCCCTGAAGCAAGCTTATACTATATAAAACATTTGTTCTTTTGCCAGGATTCTCTATTGTCTCTGCTCTGAAATCACTTTGATTCCCTCACACCTGACACCATTGCTCGTTCCTTTTCATGACTTGTTTATTTCCAGAGGGCACTCCCAAGCTGGTCCCTGAAGAGGGCAGTACATACTATCACAGAGTGCAGCACTACAGAGAGCTGCTGGACTCACTACAGATGGATGCCTACACCCATGGCTCCATCCTCCATCCTGAGATCACAGTGGACTCCCACATACCAGCATATGCAGCCACATGCATACGAAGTAAGAAACACAGAGATGCACTCTAGCAGTAATACACAACCTTATGTTCTTACATTTTGTATCCACGGTTCCACGGTTTGCTGCCCCTTGTATTGGATAGGACACATGCCTGCATAACAGCCAGACATGTTTTAGGCATGCATTCAGCAAAGTGTTGGAAAGGTTCCACATGGATCTCACTTCATGCCAAGGTAGCACCATGGAAGCTGTGCAGATTTTTCTGTGGTACGCCAATACTGCACATATCCTGTTGCACCCTATCTTACATTGTATATGTTCTGCCTTATCAAAGTTGTGACTGAAATCATCAATTATGGCTATGGCCATGAAACAATACTGAGATGAGTAAAAGTGTCCCTTTTCATAATTCTAAATAAATCTGAATCTGATTCTTCTTGTCATGAATGTGAGACTGTGTGTTTAGAAGAGGAAGCTGTTTGCATGGAATGAGACGTTTCTATATGAAATTATTGAGTTCCACGGTACCACAGTGTGCCTCGTCATGTCTAACATGATCCTATGTTTTTGTGTGACAGCACAGATCGGGAACACACAGTCGGAGCTGAAGAAACTGGCAGAGCAGAACCCAGAGCTCAAAGATGCTTACATAGCAAAACAGAGGCGCTTAAAAGTAAGTTGTTCAAGTTAGCAGAGTGGCAAGTGTGAAAAACTGTTGCCTTTGTTTTATGATTTAAGTTTGTGCAATTTAAGACCATCTAAAACCAACACAGTAAATTCATATTTGGTAAAAAAATTTAGTTAAGACTGGAAACTGGCATTTGTTTTATAATGTAAAAAATATTATGACATAGAAATGTATAATTTCCATCAAGAGCATGTAAAATTCATGGTAACTATCAGAGCTTTAAACCATGTCCAGGCTGCAATAAGCACTCTGTTTAGTATCCTATTCTGTGGTCTCTGTTGAACTTTATTCAAGACACCCAAAAAAAGAAAACTCAAGCTATCTGGCAATATAGCCGCCACTATCTTTGGCAAAATCTGAAACTAGATTCAATGATTTTTTTCCCCAGCTGCTCTATGTAATTGAAAAATGTCAATTTTGACAAACCACTATGTTGGTATTTCAGTTTGTTATTCCATATAACTAAATGAGGCTGTAGCTAAATCATGATGGAAAATAAAAAACCCAGCTAAACTCCTGCTGATTATCAGCGACTACCATCTCAGCTTTCTAGATTTAAATCACACTTTAAACGTGTGGTTTTAAATTGTGAATTTATATATTATTATATAGATTTCATTTCAAATGTCAATTGTTAACAGACACTGACACAGTAAAATTAAGATACATTTAGTCCCTACAAACTCTGTACTGAACAACAGTTGATCAGATCCATGAAGAAGCTGAAAGAACTTATTTTCTGTTTAGATACCGCAGAGTGAGAATCTGCATTTTTAGGTATTTTATGTAGGTTGTGGTGAAATGATGTTTTGACAAAATAATCAGCACAAAAATGCATGAAATAATGGCATTATAACCTTTCTAAACCTTTCAAAACATTTTCCTCAGCTTCACTATTTCTGTTGTTATAGCTCTCTGCATTTGACGTGAAGCATGACTCCTCGTATAATGTTTAATACAGTTGTGCTGTGTACTGGTATATTTATATTAAATTATTATTTATTATTAGTAATTATTAAATTATTATTATTGCAGTCTAAGTTGGTTGACCATGATAACATGAAGTACCTGAAGAAGCTTCTGGATGAACTGGAAAGTGTGATGGACCAGGTAGAGACAGAGCTTCAGAGGAGGGTGGAAGAAACACCAGGTAACCACAACACGTTGTTGCTTAGTAACCAGTGTACCATACAGATACACAATAATGGATATGATTGTGTTAATATGACTCTTTCACTTGTAGAAGAAGGCAGTCAGTCCTGGCTGTGTGGTGAGTTCTTCAGCATGGCTGACGTCTCTCTGGCAGTAACCTTACACCGCCTCAAGTTCCTTGGCCTCTCCCGCCGCTACTGGGGCAACGGTAACCGTGTCAACCTGGAAACATACTACGAGCGTGTGGTGCAGCGCCCGGCCTTCAGGAGGGTTCTGGGTCATGTCAACAACATCCTGATATCTGCTGTCCTACCTGTGGCGTTTCGCGTGGCCAGGAAGAACGCCCCGGTAATTGTTGGAACCACTCTGCTGATAGGCGTTTTAGGAGGAGCTACATACTTTGCTTTTCTTTACATGAAGAAGAGGCTTACTACCTTAAGCTGAGGGATGTTGAGGTGTTTTGGCACTGAACTGATTTGGGGGTGGGAGGTAAAGAAACAAAAAGAGCAAGAGAAATGTCACATACATCGAAACGCTAATTTAAATTCTCAAAAGCTAAAATACATAGAAGAATATGATTGATTAATAGACATCAGTAATATGTAACTGTAACACACCTTGATTGTTTTCTATTTAGCTGGTTGCACAAAATGCACTTTTCGTCATCCTCATTATGGTACTGCTGCATTGTACACCAAAGGATTGACTTAAAGAACCATACTAGTGTTTTTGCATGTTTTGTTGCATTGGTTTTAAATCACACATACCATATCTGAAGTGTTTTTGTAGCTCTACAAATTGAGTGTCAGTTTCTGAATAGGCCTGAAATAATGCAAAGACCATTAAAAACCTGGTCTGGCTATCTTCCAGATGAGCACCTTGTTTTTAGAAGTCCCTTTGATAGCACCTAAATGTACCATTTCCTCTCTGACAAAATGAAAAGACAATGTGGAATTTAACTGTGTGCCATGCAATTGCAGCATAACTTTGACACAAATATAGAGCAGCACAAATACATTTTCGTACTTTACTGAAAGTAATGAAAAGCAATGACAGTTCAAATGTAAGGCATACATGATTTATAGTAAATGGGCTAAAAGATGCAAAAACACCAGTATGGTCATTACAGATATCTTTTTATGTACTCAAATCTTTATTAAGAGCATAATATATTTCACCCTACATCTGCTTTGTCATTTATTATTTTATTGTAATTCATATTTGTGTGATAGAATTTTAAAAAGTACACTTGAGGTGCGCAGCCTGCTTTCTGTGACCAAGTCTGCCCAGCAGATATCATACTGTATCTGTGTGTACATTTGACTGCAACTCTGTAGGAACTCCCTGTTATCACACCTGCACTCATGTTTTAATATATGATGAATAATTGCTTGAAATATTCTCTTTGTAACAATGGTTGATTGAATCGCTTTTCCACTCTTGTTTAGGCCTACAATGTCTCCAGACCACCATATGCAACATCTGTCTGAGATTAAACTGCTTCCAAATGCTTTCCACTGTTTCTTGTCAATCAAATAAGACTGAGAATGGCATTAAAAATTCATGGCTCAGCATCATTTAATTAGCTATCACATATCATATAGGCTTGAAACGTTTTAAAATCCCACATCTAAAGATCTAAAGACTGCAAATCACATTTCTCAGAGTCTGGATGCAAGTCAACATTTACAGTAATTTGTTGCCTAGTCAAAACCTCCATGTTTGACAGTGACATTTCACATACGCTGAGCTTTGATTTAAACTTCTCTTCACGTGAGCTCGGCCTCACATAAAATAGACACATGCTGGGCCTTTCAACAAAGACTGGCCTTTGTTTTCAGTGTCCAGAGGGCTGGGCTGTGTAGCTGTTGAAGAAATGCCTCACACGTGTTAAAGCCACATGTGAGCTTAGCTGTCAAAGGACCATAAGCTCATTCTAGTGTGTTAGCTCTGGAAAATCATACCCTCGCAAACAGCAACCAAAATGACATCATTTTTGCTATGGGGTTATATCACACAGGTGTAATTTTGAGAGAGAGGGGTCAAAGTCATAAAAGCATAAATATTACTCTATACCAAAGACAGAGTTTGTGACCTCTGTCGCAGGTTATGAGCAAGACGAGCCTAATGCATGTCAAAATTCAAAATGTCAAAATGACAAAATTCCATCTTGATTACTGTAATGTTACTGAAGACTATTAATGGGGAGTAATGGTTTAACCCCATAACAGAACACTACCCCGATAAAAATACATATTTGGCCGATTTTAAGACATAAGATCTGTGTGACTATTTCCAAGAGCAGTAATTATGACACTCGCTGAACACTTTATTTGGAACACCTGCACACCTTCTATGTCATCCAATTATCCAATGAGCCGATCATGTGGCAGCTGTGCAACACATAAAATCCCACAGATACAGGTCAGGAGCTTCAAATACCAGAATGGGCAAAAGATTTGATCTCACAAACTTTGATCGTGGCACGATTGTTGGTGCCAGATGGTCTGGTTTGAGAATTTCCCCCACAGTAATCTCCAAAATGTACTTACCAGAAACAAAAACAAAAACACCCAGTGAATGGCAGTTCTGGAGACAGAAACATATCATTGATGAGAGAGGTCAGAGGTTGAACGGCCAGACTGATTGGAGCCCACAGAATATGGCTGTAGAAACTCACATAACCACTCAATACAGTACAACTGTGGTGAAGAGAAAAGCATCTCAGAATGCATAACTCATTGAATTTTGAGGAGGATGAGCTTTAACAGCAGACCACCATGTCGGGTTCTGCTCCTGTTAGCCAAGAACAGAAATCTGAGGCAGCAGTGGGGTTCAGGCTCAACAAAACTGGACAGATGAAGACTGGTCAACCGCATGAATCCATGGGCCCGACCTGCCTTGTGTCAAGACTCCAGGCTGATGGTGGTGGTGGTGGTGGTGTAATGGTACGAGGAATGCTTTCTTGGCACTAATACCGACCAATCATTGTTTGAATGCCACAGCCTGTCTGAACATATGGAACCCATTACGGCCACAATTTACCCATCCTCTAATGGCTACTTCCTGTATGATACCGCACTATGTCACAAAGCAGAAGTCAGTCGTCTCACACTGGCTTCATGAACATGATAATGAGTTCAGTGAACTTCGGTGGCCTCCCCAGTCACCAGATCTGAATCCAGCTGGACACCTTTGGGATGTGAACAGGATATTGGCAGCATGGATGTGCAGCTGACAAATTTACAGAAATGATGTGACGCAAACAGGTCAACATGAACCAGAATCTCAAAGTAGTTTCCAACATCTTGTAGAATCCAGGCCACAAAGAATTGAGGCTCTTTTGAGAGCAAAGGAAAATAAAAAAAATCCAGCTTCTACCATTAAATCAAAAAGGGTTTTTTTTCTGTGATGAATATTGATGTAAAGGAGTAAATGCACACATATATATACCCACTAGAGGGCAGCATATCCTTAAACAACACTCATCACACTCATCTGTGAATTATAGGGAGGATAACATTCACCCCATAATTCACAGGGAAAGGGTGTATGCTCCCCAAGCTTCTGTATGTTTCAAATTACTTCTATTATCAGAAAACCACTACTTCTTACAACATGCAAGTTAAGCCATTTAAGCAGTGCAGTGCTTTGCCTCTGTGTTTTTGTGTGGACTGCTATATATTAGAGAGTCCTTTGCAGCCAAAAAACAATTCAGCCAGCTGACAAAATAAACCTTCTGCTGGAGCTGGACATGGTTGTTGTTCAAATGATTGGTCCTGACATTTTGCTATTCAGTTGTTTAAAATCCAACAGGTGGTTCAGAATAATTGGGCAAAGTTCTCTTCACTCATGCTGCAAAACAATGGTGATTTCTTTTCTTTGAGGCAGAGTCAATAATATTCGAATAAGCTGTCAGCATATGAATGTATCATTAAACAGTCCTCTATACCTTGGCCAGACACAAAAAAATATATGAGCCGCTGACAGGCTTGATGAATTAGCAGAGACATTAAAAGGACATGTTTCCAATATTTATGATAGATGCTCAACCGGATCACAGACCTCACCAAATTCTACCAAATCCATAACTATGATACATTTTGGAGAAACATTTCAGTTTCTTCGTTGAACCTGAACTATTGATCATCTTAATTTACCTGCCAAAAGAAGGTTTATGGATGTTTGAATTGCAGCATTTGCAAATTGCAATGTGCAGAATTTTAGATCAGTTTAGATCAGGGACTTGGCACCTCTGTCAAGTATTTTTAGTGTGATATTACTAAAATGATGTAATCAAATGCAGCCCCTTCATTTTCCATGCCAAGTATGTCGGTGCCTTTAATTGTCTGGTGGCCACCTTATGATTGGGGGCTGAATTAGGTGAAGGATGGACTCTGGTTGTAAGGTGGAGTTTGGCAGCTTCCAGATGGATGTATAGCAACTCCAACAGACCCCCAAAGGTTTTCTGTCTGTACCTACATGATGCTTACAAAGCCAGGTTTAAGCAGTGTCAAAGATTCTACAGTAAATGCTACTGTGTGAACAGTGAGACCATGGAGTAGCTGACTCCTTGATGATGTGGCATTGGATTTGAGTCACCTCTGTATCAAAGCTTCTGTTGTACTATAATACGTAGTCCATCTGGTGGATTATTTGTATTCCCATTTAGAGCGTCTTTAAACCCCCCCTGGTGTACGTTAGAGATGGTGACTGGCTTCAGGTCAGACCACTAACAGAGCCTTACGCAGTCTCTTTGCTGCCATTCAAATAAACAGATTAAACTCAAGGCATCAACGACTCACACTATTTCTTTCTCTCTCCCTTTAACTACCTTTCCTGTGAACACGGTTCCTCTCTTTTGCTTTTCCCAGTGGGGAGTGTCTACGTCAGAGGGGATGGGTGGGCTAGTGCAGGTGTCTCTTTTGGAATTGCATGGAAACCCCCAGCAGACATGCATGGCCTCAGACAGACAAACAGAAAGTGTAAGAGGAGATGGAGGTTTGTGGGAGAGTGTGTATAGATGGCTGGGAGTGATGGATGGAAATATGCATGGTGATGCAAAGGAGAGGGGAGGGGTCAAGAACAAAACTGACCTAAAAGAGACTGAGTTGAAAGGATTGGGATAAAAGAGAGTGCTGCTAGGTGAGATGATTGCTGCAATGCAAGTGAAACATCTCAGAGTGGGACTATTACAATCCTAAATGGTAAAATAAGTCTTTGAGGATAAGGATAAGATTTAGCATTACAACCTCTACGTGCTAACGATAGCCAATGGTCATTACTATTCAATGCAATTTCTTTCTGGTTAGAGTAATAATCATTTTACCAGAGCAGGGATTTCTTCTTCTGCACTGACACTCTCTGTTTGCAGTGAGCGAGGCAGGTGGACAGTGGCGTGATGATGTGTGAGCTGTGTTGGACGTCCACAGACAGACAGGCTGGGTAAACAGAAAACCCACGCAGCAGTAGCTGATATCTAAGCCCACCTGATGTGGCTCTTGCCTCGGTGACTGAGTGAGTGGGAGCAAGGAAACTTCCACAGACACTTCTTGCAATCAGAGGGGTTGTGGGCTGCATGGGTAGCAGCACATTTGAAGAAAGATGGGAGACTGTAGGGAGTGTCATGAGCAGAGGGGAAACTGTGATATAAATCAGAGGAACAATGAAGCAATCAGGAAAGAGGAACAATGTTTAAGTGGCACATAAGCTAATATTCTCCATCACATCTGCAGAAGTAGGCATTTCTTCTCGCCCTCTGACCGGTCAAGACAAATGGAAAAGATGTTGGAGAGGATGATGATCTTCATTTGTTCCTTGTGACTACAGTGACATTACATAATGACACTGTAGACATAGGAATTCCATGGTGAGATGAACTACCTCAGTGAATGGAGAAGCAGCTGTTTCGCTCTTTGTACAGTTCTGTCACGATTGTCCAATGAGAACTGTTGTTGCATCAGACGTCAATCCTGCTCTCTCGTATCTCCCTCTGTTATTTTTCCCCTTATGGTTACTTTGGACACACTACTCAGAATCAAAAAGGGAAGATGTCCAAAGCCTGTTGGCACCATCAAAGGTGTTCTGAGAAAACCACTGGGCCTTTCCAGAAAGCAGCCGTCTCCGCCTTTCAGAGCGTCTGCAATATACTGTTTGCTGAGTCGACAGAGGCGGGATCTGATGATGTTGACACTACTGTTAAAATGACCCCCCGCCGACTCACCCTTCACAGCTTTATGATGAAATCCTGTGCCACCATTCATCCCCACATGTGCTCCTCAAATATTTAAACTCGGCCTACATAAACACTGCTGCGCAGGAGAGATGATACCCAATGCTCTTTGGAGCGGACCTGCTGCAATATAAATCTCTCTTCAATTGGCCAGATGTGGCCAAGTCAAACACACCATCAGGTTTTTATTGTGTTAATGATTTTTCTGTGTATAATAGGTATGCCATTTCCATGCAAATGAACCATAGTGATC